CTACCAACTTGAAAAGGAAGGTATACGCTACACCTTGTTAACCATGGCTGAAAGGAATATTCCTAAGGCCCCAAAAGCAAATGAGAAAAATTTTCTTACTATTACCCATCATCATGCTGAATTTATGAAAGAATGTAAGGATACCCATGAGGTACATTTGTTAGTAGTAAAAGGAGAAAATATGAATGAAACCCTGGAGGAAAACAAAATTCCAGTGGAAGTGCATGGACTACTGGATGAATTTCATGATGTAGTTCCAAATGAATTACCAAATGAACTCCCTCCCATGAGAGATGTACAACATCATATTGACTTTGTTCCAGGTGCTAGTCTACCTAACCTCCCACATTACAGGATGAGTCCTAAGGAGAATGAAATTTTACGGGAGAAGGTAGAAGAATTGTTGAAAAATGGACACATTCAAGTCAGTATGAGTCATTGTGAAGTACCAGCTTTGCTAACACCCAAAAAGAATGGCAGTTGGAGAATGTGTGTCGACAACAGGGCTATCAACAAGATTACTATTGGATACAAATTCCCCATTCCTAGGCTAGACGACATGCTAGATCAGCTTAATGGGGCTGTGGTTTTCACAAAAATCGATCTCAGGAGTGGATACCATCAGATCAGGATCTGCACTGGAGATGAGTGGAAGACACAGCCTTCAAGACTAGAGATGGCCTGTTCAAATGGTTAGTCATGCCCTTTGGACTAACCAAAGCACCCAGCACATTCATGAGGCTGATGAACCAAGTACTACGTCCCTTTACTAGTAAATTTGTTGTGGTATATTTTGATGACATTTTAATTTACAACAAATCTATCACTGAGCATATGGGACATATTAGGGAGGTCCTAAAAGYATTGAGGRAAAATAAATTATATGCTAATTTGAAGAAATGCACTTTTATGAGTGATAATTTATTATTCCTAGGATTCATTGTGAGCAAGGAAGGAATTAAGTAGATGAAGAAAAAGTGAAAGCCATTAGGGAGTGGCCGACCCCATCAAATGTCACAGATGTGAGACGCGTCCATGGGTTAGCAACTTTCTACAGGCGATTTATTAAACATTTTAGCAGTATTGTAGCTCCCATCACTGAATGTTTGAAAAAGGGAAATTTTCAATGGGGGGAAGAACAAGAGCAAATTTTTGTTCTCATAAAAGAGAAGTTATGTACTGCTCCTGTCCTTGCCTTGCCAAATTTTGATAAATTATTTGAAGTTGAATGTGATGCCAATGAAGTTGGCACAGGGGTTGTATTGTCTCAAGAAAAAAGACTCATTGCTTTCTTCAGTGAAATATTATGTGAAGCCAGGAGAAAGTGGTTTACTTATGACAAAGAGTTCTATGTTGTGGTAAGAGCCTTGAAAACATAGTAACACTATTTAATTGCAAAGGAATTTGTTCTTTACACTGACCATCAGGCCCTAAAATATCTCAGTGGGCAAAAACAATTAAGGAGTGATTTGCATGCTAGATGGTCTGCTTTCCTTAACAAATTCCCATACAAAATTGTGTACAAGGCTAGACAACAGAACAAAGTGGCAGATGCCCTTAGCAGAAGAGTAGCCCTCATCAAGACCCTCAGTATTGAGATTGTGGGTTTTGAGTGCCTAAAGGACCTATACGCCCAGGATGAGGACTTCCAACAGGTGTGGGAGAAATGTATGAATCGACAGTCAGCATATGATTTCTACATTCATGATGGGTTCCTTATGAAAGGGGAACAGTTGTGCATCCCTTGCACTTCCCTCCGTGAGAAGATCATCAGGGATTTGCATGGGGGCGGATTAGCAGGGCACCTAGGAAGGGAAAAGACAATTGAAGCAGTTAAAGGGGGTTATTACTGGCCGAAATTAAGAAGGGATGTGTCCACTATTGTAAGCAGATGTTATATTTGTCCGACAACTAAGGGACAAACCCAAAATACTGGTCTCTACATGCCCCTACCCGTTCCTACTGCTATTTGGGAAGACCTGTCCATGGATTTTGTGATAGGCTTTTCAAAAACCCAAAGGAACATGGACTCCATCTTCGTGGTGGTTGACAGGTTCTCTAAGATGGCTCATTTCCTCCCATGCAAGAAAATAGCAGATGCGTCAGCAACAACCAAATTATTTTTCAGGGAGATTATCCGTTTACATGGGGTACCCAAGACCATCACATCAGATCGTGACACAAGGTTCCTAAGCCACTTTTGGATGACCCTGTGGAGGTTATTTGACTCATCACTAAATTTCAGCAGCACAGCCCATCCGCAAACAAACGGACAGACAGAAGTGGTAAACCGGACCCTTGGTAGTTTAATTCGCAGTGTCTGTCGGGAGAGGCCAAAATAGTGGGATTTCGCCATAGCCCAGGCTGAGTTCGCCTATAATAATGCAGTGCACAGTTCTACAGGTAGATCTTCCTTCTCCATCGTGTACATGAAGGTTCCTAATCATGCATTGGATTTAGTGAAGCTACCCAGAATACCCGGTGCCAGTACCTCCGCAAAACAGATGGCCGACCAAATCCAGTCCGTCCAAGAAGCTGTGAAGCAGAAGGTAGAGCAAAGCAATGCCAAGTACAAGTTGGCAGCAGACAAGCACCGCCAGCCCCAAAAATTTTATGTCGGTGACGAAGTTATGGTTTTCTTAAGGAAGGAAAGGGTTCCCGTGGAAAATACAACAAGTTACAGCCTCGGAAGTACGGTTCATACAAGATCGTGAAGAAAATCAATGACAATGCATATGTCGTGGACCTACTAGATCATATGGGTATCTCCAACACCTTCAATGTTGCTAACCTTCACCGCTACCTGCCAAAGATGACACTTGCCTATCCTAGTCACGACTCGGGGTCGAGTTCTTCCCAAGTGGGGGAGAATGATGGAGGCCCATCCCAAGGCCCATCTCATCAGTAGGGGCGGCAGCTCATAGGATAAGGATAAGAGTCCAAGATAAGTCAAGAAAGGATAATTCAAGATCCATCAAGACTTAATCCAAGATTCCAAGACTTATCAAGAATTCTAAAAATCAAGATCCATCAAGACTTCAAGAATCATCAAGAATTCTAGAGTCAAGATAACCACAAGATTTCCAAGACTTCCAAGATTCATGCATAGAGGAGTTCCAGGGAGATCGGGCGACGGAAGATCAAACCCAAGAATGTTCAATCCTATCAAGACCAAGATCAAGATCAAGAAGAGTTCAAGATTCATGCAGATTAGGATCTATCTTCTCTTTCCAAATTACTTTACAATTTCCAAATGTATAATAAATACTGCTATTATTTTCCAGTTAATACACACTTTAGGATTTCTTCAGATTTCCTCTTCATTTTTCGCCACCTTTTCTCTCTCCTAGAGAAATTGTGTAGTTTCGCTAGCAACTGGTGTTTGCCTGGTGCTTGCATAATCAGCTCCGGTTTTCCATTGCTTCCACGCTGTGTCAAACATTTATTGATAAGCATACACTAAGAAAAAGATAAAATTTATTTAAAAATAAAAATGCATAAACCTATAATAAATAAATGGGCGTGACTTAGTGGTGAACCTCTAGTTGTTAAAGCTTAATGTCCAAGATTCGAATCTTTCTATTGCTAAATTTGTAGTTTTATACTAACAAAATGAATTTAATGAGAAAGAATGTTACTAGTTAACGAAATTAATGGGGAAAAAATTCCAATTAAGTGCTAAAATTAAAATTCAAAAAATACATTGCGAAATTTTAAACCTTGGATTTGGGCTTCAACTTATATTTTAAACTCAAAAACTCAGCTAAGTTGGGATAATAATTGTATTGGGACCAATTCTTTTCTTTTCTTTTCTAAACTGAACGAATTGTATCAGAAGCAGACAAGAAGCACAATCACCTGGCGTTCCTCATATACCAACCGTTGGTTGTGAATAAGATAGAAACCATGCACACCTGGTTCATGATCATCATCGTCCATGCCTTGTCCCAACTGTATGGTAGCAGTAGTTGACTTAGATGAGGAGGATGTCCAATAATTGCATAATTATGTATCACGTTTGTAGCAATCGGCCCTATAACGCGAGAAGTCAATGAATTCAGATGATGTGAAAAGAAAGAGATAAAGAGGCGATTCTCAGTTTCTCTCAGCGATTGTAGATCTGTTACAAGTTACAACAGAGAACAATGGCTGAGAGCGTTTTCAGATTTCTGTTGGAGAAATTGAGCTCGCTGTTGTCTGATGAAGCTAATCTCCTCCTCGGAGTGAAACAGCAGAGCGGATCACTCCAGAATCAATTCCGATTGATTACAGCCTTTCTCAAGGATGCTGATAAGAAACAGCAGAGTAGCACACTGATGGAAGAATGGGTGAGCCAGATGAGAGACTTGGTCTACGAGGCCGAGGATGTTATAGATTTGCTCCTTCTAAAAGCAGAGCAACGACGTCAGCAAAACATCTGTCTCAGGTATGTCACCTATCCCTTCCACTTTGTCACTCTCCACAAGACGGGAAAAAGGATACAAGAGATCAACAGAAAGTTGGGCATATTATTATATGCCAATAAACCACTTCTTGAGATACAAACTATTGAGGATGCAGGAGAAAGTTCAGGTCATTCCAACGAACCCCTGCAGCGGAAACGAAGAAGAGATCTCAATGTTGAAGAAGGTGACGTAGTAGGCTTTCACAAGGAAGAAGAGGAGGTAACTCGATTGCTAACACGAGATGATGGCCGGCAACTCATTACTGTTTCCATCGTGGGTATGGGCGGTTTGGGCAAGACCACCCTTGCTCGAAAAATTTACAATAGCTTTCATGTTAAACAACACTTTGATGTTAGTACATGGGTTTATGTCTCTCAACAATTTAAGATAACAGAACTACTGCAGGCTGCCATTAAAGGAATTAAAGTGAACCTCACGGACGAAGAGAGAAGGGAGTTATGGATGAAGGACGAGGAAGATTTGAAGGCCATGTTGTCTAATCTTTTGAATCAAAAGAAATGCCTCATAGTTTTTGATGATCTATGGAAGATAGAGGATTGGGAGAGTTTAAAAGTTGCACTTGTTGATCCTGATGAAGGTAAGCATTGTAGAGTGCTAATTACTACTCGCAATGAAGATGTAGCCAGGCATGCTGACCCATCCATTGAACCCTGTAGATTGCTTCATTTGAACAAGGAAGAGAGTTTGGAGCTCTTCTGGAAGAAGGTATTCCCTTCTGAAGCACAAATTAATGTTGTGGAGACCAAAAAAATATTGCAATTCTTGGCAGAGAAGATTGTTGATAAGTGCGGTGGATTGCCGCTTGCTATTGTACTACTGGGAGGCCTTTTGTGCCGGAAAAGGAAGACAGCTGATGAATGGTCCAGAATTCAAGTTGGTCTCGATAGGCATCTAAACAATTGTGAAGAAATCTTGGCTTTCAGTTACAGAGATTTGCCGTATCAGTTAAAACCTTGTTTTCTCTATTTTGGTCTTTTACCAGAAGACCATGCCATCAGAAGTTGTATAATGATTGATATTTGGAAGTCAGACGGCTTAATACGAGGAAGACCAGGTAAAAGAATGGAAGATGTAGCAGAGGAATACCTAGAAGAGCTGATTCAAAGAAGTATGGTCCAGGTAACAGAATGGCGCTCCAATGACGAAATTTATATGTGTCGTATCCATGATCTTTTACGGGATTTGGCGATTAAGGAAGCTGAGAAAGAAAATTTCTTTCAAATCAATGGGAAGAATAGATTGTCCCCGAATAGATCACGCAGACTCGCCATCCATCCTCATGATGATACGCATGACAACACTACAACTACTGGTATGTCTCAATCCACAGCTCTAAGCAATCTTCGTTCATTTTTGTGCTTCACCGATAGCCTCCCAAAGGACACATGGAAGTCCCTTTTTAGAGGCTTCAAACTGCTAAGGGTATTGGACCTAAGTGATGTAAAGGACATAGAGAGCTTACCCAAGGAAATCGGACAACTTGTCCATCTCGAACACTTGAACCTGTCCAGAACTCTAATTCGGGCACTCCCATCTTGTATAGGCAATCTCCGAAATTTAAAAACCCTTATTTTAGAGGAAACTTGCATCAAAAGCCTACCCATTACAATAATATTAAAACTGAAGCAATTAAGAAATTTGGTGCATTGTCTTTATTTCTATACTGCTGATGACAAAGCTGCCGTCTTTGATGAGTTTGAAAGGAGTACTTGTAACTGTTATGGTGTTGCTTCTCTTCCTCCTCCAAGAATCGACTCTCTACCAAACCTCGAGATCCTACTGATGCATGCAGGCAGTTGGATAAATGGTGGGCTCGATAAATTAACAAAGCTTAGACAACTAATGATATTCGGTGAAGAAGATTTGGGAGGATTTTGTGGGGAGGCATTACTGAATGCCATTTGTAAATTGAACCAACTTAGAAATTTAGCGCTGGAAGCATCAAAATGTTCATTCTTGCCTCTTGCCGATGTTTCATTTGCACAACACTCTTACCTCTACGATTTGAGATTAGTTGGAAAAATTGGGCCAACTGGAAGACTACCTCCATCCTGTGATTTCCCACCTAGTCTCACTGGATTGTTATTGAAGAATACACATCTAAGGCAGGAAGACAACCCAATGGCGACGTTAGGAGAGCTAATAAATCTAAGGGAGCTCCTCTTGAGATCCAATGCGTTTGACGGAATGACAATGGCTTTCTCTGCAGGGGGGTTTCCCAACCTCCGACAATTATGCCTTCTTGAATTGGATAAATTAGAGTATATGGAATTGGATCAAGGAACACTGCCAAATCTCAAGGAATTATATATAGCGGGATGCTTTGAATTGAAGATGCTTCCCGATGGGTTGAGACACATCAGCACCATGCCGAAACTTGTTCTAAGAAGGATGCCCAAGCAATTCATTGATAGGGTCCGAGAAGATGGAGAAGATTGGGAGAAGATCAAGCACGTGCCCTATATATCCTTCTAAAGCAGGAGTAGAAGAGAGTGACACGACACAGCATCAACTTACTCTTCTTCACAGGTATGAAAATAAGCCTTGCTGAGAATACATGGAAAGCCACGTACTCTAACAGTGAAAATGATAGAGATGGAAAATGTATATATGATCACCATGAGAACCACTTGATTGGAATGTTGCTTTTAGGGTATTGACAAAACGAGCTAGGCTCTGCAGCCTGCATCGTAAGGACTAAGGAACGTGCCTTGACAAAAAGACCACTACTGGATTGAACTGAATCTTTATTCTGTAGCAGCTACAAGAAAATAAGATTCTAAACTAGCTAGTGTCGCTTTACAGGACAGGATCTATCTTATCAATTTTCCTTTCCACAGAATGTATTCCACTCAAGTGATTCTTATGGACTGCAATTTTTGTTGCTGAGCTCCAACTGATCCTATCTGTTTGTTTCTGATCTAAAAAGGCTCAGATGATAGACACTATGGTAACCCATTGTCATCATCGTGATTCCAACAACAAAACAATAGTGTATATTTCATTTATAATATGTTTGATGAAATTCTTACAATCCAATGCCAAGCTGCTAGGAAATGTCTTTGTGTAAAACTTTCGAACACCTTATACTCACAGAATATGAAATTTAATTTTTACCAGCTGGGAGATGACATTGCCGTGCCAGTGATTTAATTGCTTATGCCTTCTTCACATGTGACAGATGGTTCCGGCGGATCAACGGTATGAGTGCAAAAGAGGCAATCAGTGGGTTCTCTGTTCAAGGATTTAGAGATGCTTTCTAATAAATTTCAGAGATTATGCCATATTATGATTGATGGTGATGCTTTAAATGCATAACCAGGAGTCAGTGTGCAATTCTTAATTTCTAAGTAAGACATATGTTTTATTGATTAGTGTTTTTTTTTTCTTTTTTCTTTCGTGTGTATAGTTATGTTTGTTTGCAGATACATGTTATCTCAGTTGTATTAATATTGCAGTTTCTGGAGCTCCCTGGAAAAGTAAAATAGAGAAATTAGAAAATCATTTCAGAAAGCCTTAAAGCATAGAAGTGTGGTGAGAATAGTATTAAGTGAAAAGCAACTTCAATTTTTAGGGAGGCTTAAGCTATGTTTGGAAAATTGTGTGGCTTTTCAAGACGAAAAGAGAAAAAGGAGGGATCAATTGGGAAAATAGGACTAGCGGGAAAGAAACGATAACGTTTTGGAGGGAGTGAAGGTGAACCCATTGGAGAATTTGCAGCACAGTAGGTATAAACTGGAAACTTGTGATTGTGATGAGAGGAGCTGCTCTTTTTATGATTAAAGACAAAGGAGCACTCATACAGTCATACTAATGATATGTATATAAAATTTTGACGGGATGAGGCGCTTAAGCAACAGAGAGCAGCTGCATTTTTTATGTGGTTTCTCTTGTCAAGGGGTATTGCGGAAGGAGTTCACATGCTCTGTACCAAGGTTACAGATATTTTTCTGTACTAGCAATCTGTCACTTCAAAACACAGGAAGTGTGCGTTTACTATTCAGGCGTTTGCTCTGTTTAATGTCTGATAATACTTTTATTTATTTCAGTTTTGTAGCTTTGTAGTTATTTATAGTTAGTTTCTTCCTTTTAGCATCATGTTAGGTTTCCTCTTTCAGATAACTATGAGGATTACAAATACAAGAATTCAGAAAAGCAGTTAAAAAAAAATCGAACAGAAAACAAAACAAGCGACAGAAAAATTTTCAGTTGTATTTATATTAGTTTTCTTTCATTGTTTAGTTTTTCATTTAACTCATCTCTCCTTATTTTATATTTTTTTATTATATTGTGTTGAAATGGTTGGTGATGAATCGCTTTTTGGTGATGTATCAATTTTTTAGCTAAGTATTTCGTCATTTGGTCTGCTTTCAAGTGGATGATTCAGGCCGGAGTAGAGCTGCCTGGTGGCGAGCTGCCTAGTGCCGAGCTAGGCAGATGAGGTGTCGAGCTTACCAGGTGGCGAGCTACCTGTGACGTACCGGGCTGACCAGGTGCCGAGCTGCTTGGGAGGTGCCAAGTTGGCCAGGTGTCGAGTTGACCAGGTGCCGAACTGACCAGGTGCCAAACTGCCTGGTGACGAGCTGGATTGATGAACTTTGTTACTTTTTAGAGACTTGCAAGGAACCAAATGTCAGAAGACCCGGGGTGGCTAACCCGACGAGGTCGCTCCGATGCTTAAGTCAGTACTCTCATAGTAGACTGCGAGCTAAAAATCACAAAGTGTGAGGTAGAATTTGCTTACTTGCCTGTCTGC